TACTCAGGTGCACATGGCCGTGGTCTCACCCATGTCCCGGCTGCATCTTTTGCTGCTATTCGGGTGCTTTGCTGGGCAGATTGCTCCCAACCATCCTGTGGTGTTGGGTCCTCGTTTTGAAGGAGACAGCGCCCCGCGTCCTCATCCCACTACAACTACACAATATGAATACTACTCTCCTCTCTCCCCTGGTGACGTCCGGGAAATATTCGGCCCGCCTCCGCGCATTCGTTTTTTAAGCACAGGATTCCCGGGTAACGGGTTTTCGCCTGATTTGATTCCAAAATGCTGCTCTCGCTGAAGCGCTGGCCTCATTTTCGGGCTACCGCTCGTTCCGAATCGTGCTCCCGCTGCAGCGCTGGCCTCATTTCCCCGCTTCCGCTCGTTCCGGATCGTGCTCCCGCTGCAGCGCTGGCGCCATTATTTCCAGCGCCATGCCGCGGCATGGTTTTCGGTCCTTCCAAATCGGCCCCAAAATCCAGAAAATGCCCCCCGAAAAAACCATCGGAAGTGACTACACATTCGGTGACGATTCGTTGATTGGGTCGCAGAAGCCCCCCCCCACTTTGGGGCGTTGCCACGCTATGCTATGTCAGGCTACGCGTCCTCCGAGTCGTGCTCCCGCTGCAGCGCTGGCCTCATTTCCGCGCTTCCACTCGTTCCGAATTGTGCTCCCGCTGCAGCGCTGGCGTCATTGTTTCCAGCGCCATGCCGCGGCATGGTTTTCCGTCCTTCCAAGTAGGCCCCAAAATTTAGAAAACGCCCCCCCCCCCGAAACAACCACCGGAAGTGATTACACCTTTGGCTTCGATCCGTTGATTTTCGTGGCCGCAAAGCCCCCCCACTTTGGGGCGTCGCCACACCATGCTATTTCAGGCTACGCGTTGATCTTCAACACCGTGCTATGTCATATTTCTAACGTTATGCCCTGCTACGACACCCGACTGTGCGAATAGAGAGGAGATCTACGCCATGGTAAGGGATGGGAGGGAGGGGTAGGACGTCAGATATGACGCTAGCGCACCCAGCTTGTCCTCCACCCTCCCTCCCTCCCTCCTCCCATCCCTGCCTCTGCCCTCCGGATGCCCTCATAGTCGTCCCCTCCCATATCTCGTGGCCCCCTTATGGAGCCCCAAATAAGGCCCAGAACGCCAAGGTCCGCGTCGCGCCGCCACTTACTTTCGGAACACCCCTGACACGTAGGCCCAAGTGACCGGGTCCGCATGGCGTCGCCGCTCCACTCCGGTACACCCCTCACACGCTTCCTGGCCCCATAGGGAGCTCCACCGAAGACCCACATGCCAGGATCCGCATGGCGACGCCGCCTCATGTCCGAACACCCCTCGCACGCGTTTCGTGGCTCCATTGGGAGGTAAAACAAAGGCCCAAGTGCCAGGATCCGCACAGCGGTGGTGCCTCATTTCGGCACAACCCTCACACGCTTCGTGGCCCCATAGGGAGCTCCAACTAAAGCCCAAATGCCAGGGTCCGCATAGCGTCGCCGCCTCATTTCGGCGCACCCCTCGAACGTTCTGAGGCGCTACGGCCCACTTGCCAGGGCCCGCGTGGCGTCGCCCCTTCATTTCGGCACACCCCTCGCACGCTTCCTTGCCCCAGAGGGAGCTTCAGCCAAGGCCCACACGCCAGGGTCCGCGCTGCGTCGCCGCCTCATGCCGGCACACCCCTCACACGGTGCGTGGCACCACAGGGGGCTCCAGCCAAGACCCCGCCGGCATGGCCTGCCAGGCGGCGCCGCGCCGAGCTCGGCACAACCCTCACGCGAACCGTAGCCGCACACGGAGCTCCACCGACGGCCCAGATTCCATGGTCCGCGTGGCGGCGGTGA